ACTCACTCACTCACTCACTCACTCACTCGCTCACTCACTCACTCACTCTCTCTCGCTCACTCACCCGCTCACTCGCTCACTCACTCACTCACTCACTCACTCACTCACTCACTCTCTCGCTCACTCACCCGCTCACTCTCTCTCTCTCTCTCGCTCACTCACTCTCTCTCTCGCTCACTCACTCTCTCTCTCTCTCTCTCTCTCACTCACTCACTCACTCACTCTCTCGCTCACTCACTCTCTCTCGCTCACTGACTCTCTCCCTCGCTCACTCGCAAAACTCTCCCGCTCACTCACTCACTCTCTCTCTCGCAAAACTCTCCCGCTCACTCACTCACTCACTCACTCTCTCTCTCGCTCACTCACCCGCTCTCTCTTGCTCACTCACTCTCTTTCTCGCTCACTCACCCACTCACTCACTCACTCACTCACTCACTCACTCACTCACTCACTCACTCACGCTCACTCGCAAAACTCTCCCGCTCACTCACTCACTCACTCACTCACTCACTCTCTCTCTCTCTCTCTCTCTTTCGCAAAACTCTCCCGCTCACTCACTCACTCACTCACTCACTCACACACTCACTCACTCACTCTCTCTCTCGCAAAAGTCTTACGCTCACTCACTCGCTCACTCACTCACTCACTCACTCTCACTCACTCACTCACTCACTCACTCACTCACTCACTCACTCACTCACTCACTCTCTCTCTCGCAAAACTCTCCCGCTCACTCACTCACTCACTCACTCACTCACATACTCACTCACTCACTCACTCACTCACTCACTCACTCACTCACTCTCTCTCTCGCAAAACTCTCCCGCTCACTCACTCTCTCGCTCACTCACCCGCTCACTCTCTCTCTCACTCTCTCTCTCGCTCACTCACTCTCTCTCTCTCTCTCTCACTCACTCACTCTCTCGCTCACTCACTCTCTTTCTCGCTCACTCGCAAAACTCTCCCGCTCACTCACTCACTCACTCACTCTCTCTCTCGCTCACTCACCCGCTCTCTCTTGCTCACTCACTCACTCACTCACTCTCTTTCTCGCTCACTCACTCACTCTCTCACTCTCTCGCTCACTCACTCTCTCGCTCACTCTCTCTCTCTCTCACTCACTCACTCTCTCACTCTCTCGCTCACTCACTCACTCACTCACTCTCTCTCTCTCTCACTCACTCACTCTCTCACTCTCTCGCTCACTCACTCTCTCGCTCACTCGCAAAACTCTCCCGCTCACTCACTCACTCACTCACTCTCTTTCTCGCTCACTCACCCGCTCACTCACTCACTCACTCGCAAAACTCTCCCGCTCACTCACTCGCTCACTCACTCACTCTCTCTCTCGCTCACTCACTCACTCACTCACTCACTCTCTCTCTCGCAAAACTCTCCCGCTCACTCACTCGCTCACTCACTCACTCTCTCTCTCTCGCTCGCTTGCTCACCCGCTCACTCTCTCTCTCTCTCGCTCACTCTCCCGCTCACTCACTCACTCACTCACTCTCGCTCACTCACCCGCTCTCTCTTGCTCACTCACTCTCTTTCTCGCTCACTCACTCACTCACTCACTCACTCACTCACTCACTCACTCACTCACTCACGCAAAACTCTCCCGCTCACTCACTCGCTCACTCACTCTCTCTCTCGCAAAACTCTCCCGCTCACTCACTCGCTCACTCACTCACTCACTCTCTCTCTCGCTCGCTTGCTCACCCGCTCACTCTCTCTTGCTCACTCACTCTCTTTCTCGCTCACTCACCCACTCACTCACTCACTCACTCACTCACGCTCACTCGCAAAACTCTCCCGCTCACTCACTCACTCACTCACTCACTCACTCACTCTCTCTCTCTCTCTCTCTCGCAAAACTCTCCCGCTCACTCACTCACTCACTCTCTCTCTCGCAAAACTCTCCCGCTCACTCACTCGCTCACTCACTCACTCACTCACTCTCTCTCTCGCTCGCTTGCTCACCCGCTCACTCTCTCTTGCTCACTCACTCTCTTTCTCGCTCACTCACCCACTCACTCACTCACTCACTCACTCACGCTCACTCGCAAAACTCTCCCGCTCACTCACTCACTCACTCACTCACTCACTCACTCACTCACTCACTCACTCACTCTCTCTCTCTCTCTCTCGCAAAACTCTCCCGCTCACTCACTCACTCACTCACTCACTCAATCACTCACACACTCACTCACTCACTCTCTCTCTCGCAAAAGTCTTACGCTCACTCACTCGCTCACTCACTCACTCTCACTCACTCACTCACTCACTCACTCACTCACTCACTCTCTCTCTCGCAAAACTCTCCCGCTCACTCACTCACTCACTCACTCACTCAATCACTCACTCACTCACTCTCTCTCTCTCGCTCGCTTGCTCACCCGCTCACTCTCTCTCTCTCTCGCTCACTCTCCCGCTCACTCACTCACTCACTCACTCTCGCTCACTCACCCGCTCTCTCTTGCTCACTCACTCTCTTTCTCGCTCACTCACTCACTCACTCACTCACTCACTCACTCACTCACTCACTCACTCACTCACGCAAAACTCTCCCGCTCACTCACTCGCTCACTCACTCTCTCTCTCGCAAAACTCTCCCGCTCACTCACTCGCTCACTCACTCACTCACTCACTCTCTCTCTCGCTCGCTTGCTCACCCGCTCACTCTCTCTTGCTCACTCACTCTCTTTCTCGCTCACTCACCCACTCACTCACTCACTCACTCACTCACGCTCACTCGCAAAACTCTCCCGCTCACTCACTCACTCACTCACTCACTCACTCTCTCTCTCTCTCTCTCTCTCGCAAAACTCTCCCGCTCACTCACTCACTCACTCTCTCTCTCGCAAAACTCTCCCGCTCACTCACTCGCTCACTCACTCACTCACTCACTCTCTCTCTCGCTCGCTTGCTCACCCGCTCACTCTCTCTTGCTCACTCACTCTCTTTCTCGCTCACTCACCCACTCACTCACTCACTCACTCACTCACGCTCACTCGCAAAACTCTCCCGCTCACTCACTCACTCACTCACTCACTCACTCACTCACTCACTCACTCACTCACTCACTCACTCTCTCTCTCTCTCTCTCGCAAAACTCTCCCGCTCACTCACTCACTCACTCACTCAATCACTCACACACTCACTCACTCACTCTCTCTCTCGCAAAAGTCTTACGCTCACTCACTCGCTCACTCACTCACTCTCACTCACTCACTCACTCACTCACTCACTCACTCACTCACTCACTCTCTCTCTCGCAAAACTCTCCCGCTCACTCACTCGCTCACTCACTCACTCACTCACTCACTCTCTCTCTCGCTCGCTTGCTCACCCGCTCACTCTCTCTTGCTCACTCACTCTCTTTCTCGCTCACTCACCCACTCACTCACTCACTCACTCACTCACGCTCACTCGCAAAACTCTCCCGCTCACTCACTCACTCACTCACTCACTCACTCACTCACTCACTCTCTCTCTCTCTCTCTCGCAAAACTCTCCCGCTCACTCACTCACTCACTCACTCAATCACTCACACACTCACTCACTCACTCTCTCTCTCGCAAAAGTCTTACGCTCACTCACTCGCTCACTCACTCACTCTCACTCACTCACTCACTCACTCACTCACTCACTCACTCTCTCTCTCGCAAAACTCTCCCGCTCACTCACTCACTCACTCACTCAATCACTCACTCACTCACTCTCTCTCTCGCAAAACTCTCCCGCTCACTCACTCTCTCGCTCACTCACCCGCTCACTCTCTCTCTCACTCTCTCTCTCACTCACTCACTCTCTCGCTCACTCACTCTCTCGCTCACTCGCAAAACTCTCCCGCTCACTCACTCACTCACTCACTCACTCTCTCTCTCGCTCACTCACCCGCTTTCTCTTGCTCACTCACTCTCTTTCTCGCTCACTCACCCGCTCACTCACTCACTCACTCGCAAAACTCTCCCGCTCACTCACTCGCTCACTCACTCACTCACTCTCTCTCTCGCTCACTCACTCACTCACTCACTCTCTCTCTCGCAAAACTCTCCCGCTCACTCACTCGCTCACTCACTCACTCACTCTCTCTCTCTCGCTCGCTTGCTCACCCGCTCACTCTCTCTCTCTCACTCTCCCGCTCACTCACTCACTCACTCACTCTCTCTCTCGCTCACTCACCCGCTCTCTCTTGCTCACTCACTCTCTTTCTCGCTCACTCACTCACTCACTCACTCACTCACTCACTCACTCACTCACTCACGCAAAACTCTCCCGCTCACTCACTCGCTCACTCACTCACTCTCTCTCTCGCAAAACTCTCCCGCTCACTCACTCGCTCACTCACTCACTCACTCTCTCTCTCGCTCGCTTGCTCACCCGCTCACTCTCTCTCTCTCTCGCTCACTCTCCCGCTCACTCACACTTTTTATTGATTGTGTAATAAATGTTTGATTTAACTTTAATGATGCAAAAGGATGTCTAAACAAATTAATCTATAAAACCTTAACAGATTAATCATTTATTACAATTCTATCAATAATAGTGTCTAATAAAATCCATTTTATTTTTTCCTGAATTCCATTTTATTTTTTCCTAGAATACACGTTTTAATTTGTTTGGATTGCATTTTAATGGTTTGAATAAATTATAATAATCAAAAAGGAACAATTAATGATACAATCAGTGTACAATTAATAAAACATTAACAATTTATTAATTGATTAATATTTTAACAAAAAATGAAATTAAATAGGTTTTATATTTTCTTTGTTTTATGGTTGATCGAAAAAATGTAATAACAATAATTTTTTTACAATTTATTTTTTACAATTATTATTATTATTATTATGCATAAAACTTTAACAATTTACTTAATCTTTTAAAATGTAAAATTAAAATGAATGTTTTGAACACTAGTGCACATGTTAGATCCCCCCGCAGTGGATTGGCCTGCTGACTGAGAGTGTGTGTGTGTGTGTGTGTGTGTGTGTGACCTGTGGTACACGAGCATGTCCTCGTCCGGGGGATTCGCCAGCAGGTTCAGGCCGTACGTCTCTCTCATGGGCGGCAGACGCTGCTGTGGCTGATCCTGGTAAAGAGCAAAGAGCAAAGGTCAAAGGTCACACAGACGGCAGACAGAGTTCAGATAAAGCATTTCATTCTGTACTTTTTAATATGTCAGATGTGTCACTGGCTACGTTTACATGCAAACAAATAAACCGTCAGTAATCATTGACGGCTCAGTCGCACTGAAAAGCCTTCATGTAAAATCACACTGAGATTTTGATCCGGTTTTGATTCGGTTTATTCCTTTTCTAAACCGATCGAAAGAACATGTAAACACTTGATCGGATCGAAGACCGAAACTGACAGGACTGCGCATGTGCGCTGACGTTGAAACAGCGTGATGACGAATGAGGAACGAGCTCTTCTTCTGTTGAATAAAGTGTCTCATAAAACGGAGAGTTCCGGTCCTTGATTCTGATTGGTTGAGCCGCGTTCGGAGCCGTTGTAAATTACTTACATACAAACACACACACACACACACACCTGTGAGCGCTTTACATCAGTGTTACAAACACACACACCTGTGACCGCATTACATTAGTGTTACACACACACACACACACACACACACACACACACACACCTGTGACCGCATCACATCAGTGTTACACACACACACACCTGTGACCGCATCACATCAGTGTTACGCACACACACACCTGTGAGCGCATTACATCAGTGTTACACACACACACACACACACACACACACACACACACACACCTGTGACCGCATCACATCAGTGTTACACACACACACACACACACCTGTGAGCGCATTACATCAGTGTTACACACACACACACACACACCTGTGACCGCATCACATTAGTGTTACACACACACACACACACACGTGACCGCATCACATCAGTCTTACTGCGTAACTGCCGTCTGTTATTCTTTGTTGCTGCATGTGTTGCTTGGCGGAGGAATAAATGTGTTATAACTTTATATATTTTGTTGCTGCTGCTTATTTTAAGAATAAAATAAATAGTAAAATGTATATTTTTTATGGAGTAACCGATTTATTAAAGCAATAAGCCCCTTGAAGCCGTGTTTTACAGTGAATTTATAACAGCTGAGGGGGTTTTAGGGGTCAAACAACGTCCCACCTGTCCTCGTTTCAGACTCTCATACACACACTTAATCATTTTTACTGTGTGATGAATATAAGCAGCGGCACAACGGTTTATACACTCATTTACTCCAAATTATGACCAGAAATGGATAAATATTACGTCTGCTGTTTAAAACAAATAAAGAACCAATGTAGGAGAATAGTTATTATGTGCAAACAGCGGGAAACTCTGTATATTCCTGCGGTGTGCGCATGTCAAAAAATATACTCTGATTTGAAGCTTGTGACATAAACGCGCACATCAACCCGATCACGTTCAGCGTTCATGTAAACACTAATCATGCAAACACTAATCATGCAAACACTAATCATGCAAACACTAATCATGTAAACACTAATCATGCAAACACTAATCATGTAAACACTAATCATGCAAACACTAATCATGTAAACACTAATCATGCAAACACTAATCATGTAAACACTAATCATGCAAACACTAATCCTGTAAATACTAATCCTGTAAACACTAATCCTATAAACACTAATCATGCAAACACTAATCATGCAAACACTAATCCTGTAAATACTAATCCTGTAAACACTAATCCTGTAAACACTAATCATGCAAACACTAATCATGTAAACACTAATCATGCAAACACTAATCATGTAAACACTAATCATGCAAACACTAATCATGTAAACACTAATCATGCAAACACTAATCATGTAAACACTAATCATGCAAACACTAATCCTGTAAATACTAATCCTGTAAACACTAATCCTGTAAACACTAATCATGCAAACACTAATCATGTAAACACTAATCATGTAAACACTAATCCTGTAAACACTAATCCTGTAAACACTAATCATGCAAACACTAATCATGTAAACACTAATCATGTAAACACTAATCATGTAAACACTAATCATGCAAACACTAATCATGCAAACACTAATCATGTAAACACTAATCATGTAAACACTAATCATGCAAACACTAATCATGCAAACACTAATCATGTAAACACTAATCATGCAAACACTAATCCTGTAAATACTAATCCTGTAAACACTAATCATGCAAACACTAATCATACAAACACTAATCATGCAAACACTAATCATGCAAACACTAATCCTATAAACACTAATCATGCAAACACTAATCATGTAAACACTAATCCTGTAAACACTAATCATGCAAACACTAATCATGCAAACACTAATCATGCAAACACTAATCATGTAAACACTAATCATGCAAACACTAATCATGTAAACACTAATCATGCAAACACTAATCATGTAAACACTAATCATGCAAACACTAATCATGTAAACACTAATCATGCAAACACTAATCCTGTAAATACTAATCCTGTAAACACTAATCCTATAAACACTAATCATGCAAACACTAATCATGTAAACACTAATCCTGTAAACACTAATCATGCAAACACTAATCATGCAAACACTAATCATGCAAACACTAATCATACAAACACTAATCATGCAAACACTAATCATGCAAACACTAATCATGTAAACACTAATCATGCAAACACTAATCATGTAAACCAGGGATCACCAAACTAAGGCCCGCGGGCCGACTCAGGCCCGCCACCCCCCTTTGACTGGCCCCCCAGCCCCTCTAACCCCCACTACTTTAACCGGCCCAATGAGGCAATCCCTAAAAGTCGTCATGGCCTATTTTCTTTTATTGATTTTTTGAAAATAATAACATGTCTGCATCTGGTATTTTGTTGATTTTTTCAGTTAAAAAATTATATTTAGTTATAAAATGAACTATATTTGCCGAATTCTTCACCCGACATCCTCGAGATCAAGCAGTGACAGACAACGCACGTGCAGGGAACTGTCAGTGTTCAGGACAGCAAAATGTCTAGCTTAAACGAAAAGTTGATGGAGAGTGCAGAGTTTTAAAAGAACAGTGGACCAACGATTATTTTTTTGTTCAGTGTAAGGACTGTGCAGTTTGTATTATATGTAAAGAAAGTGTGGCGTTTTTCAAAGAATATAATCTGCGTCGTCACCACGAAACCCGCGACAAAGAGTATGCTAGCTTGCGATGTTTCTTACCTTGACAGCTTTGATGTTATTTTTATTAGAAAATAAATAAATGGAATATCTGTGGTATCTCAAATTAAAACAAAGTGTGAAGACTCAATTACTACTTTTGCAAACCATTAGTAAATATAAACAAATATGTGCCAGGAATCAAGTGTTGATATAGTAGTGTTGATATAGTAGTGTGAATATAGTAGTGGGGATGGCTGTGCCAGGCTAGTAATCTCTACTAGGGGTGTAACGGTACACAAACATCAAGGTTCGGTACGTACCTCGGTTTTAAAGTCACGGTTCGGTACGTTTTCGATACAGCAAAAAGTAAGAAATGCCAGAGAAATTTCCTGTTTGTTAAAAGAAAAAATATTTTTTTAAATAAGTTTTGAGTTTTCCTACATCTTGAAACTTTCAGGTTTATAAATGGGTGTCATCTTTGAAGGATGAACAAATAATGTTTTGGTCATCACATTAAAAATAACATTTATGAAGAGTTCAGATGCAAAAGCCATTTGAAATTTTCTTCTAGAATGATCATTTTTATCAAGCTTGTATATTTAAGTTCAGTAATTTCACTTAAATGGCAATGAACCTATTAATTGTCATTTGAGTGAAATTACTGAACTTAAATATACAAGCTTCATAAAAATGATCATTCTAGAAGAAAATTTCAAATGGCACTTAGAGGCTTTTGCATCTGAACTCTTCATATATTTATTATATAATATTTTAGTTTTGAAGTGCTGGAAAAAGATGTGTGAAGTACTTGAAAGCATTTCACTATTCCAGCTAAACTGGTTACAGTTAGTGTTATTGTATTAAATCCATGGTGAATGTTGCTGGTCTGTGGACGTAAAGTATTACTAGTTCATTCACGGCACAATGTTTCTCCTGGTGTCCACGTCAGCGCTGTTTGATGTAATAGAGATCTACGGTTAATAACGGAGAAATGTGAATGCTTCTCACTAGATCTCGCAGCGATGTTATTATTTCAGTGGCGAATTCAAATGTTTTCTTTACTGGATCTCTTAGCGCTGTGTAGTAACCGTGTCGCTTGATCGAGATCGGCGCGCGCTGCACAGATGTTGCTGGTCCGAACTAACGGTCCGTGAAGCACAATATGAGTAGCGCAGTTTCGTTCCGCTTTCATTACGCTTGCCATTTGATGTTGCGCAACGTTGTGGTGATCGCGCCAGCGCGAATTTTGTCGGCAGGAAAAATGGTCCTCGGAATCGTTCGGTTTGTATGCGTACCGAACCGGAAGCCTCGAACCGAAACGGTTCAATACGAATACATGTACCGTTACACCCCTAATCTCTACTACACAATGTTTTGTCAGGGTCATACAATTCTATGTTATATAGCTGACCCGGCCCCGGCCCCCCCATCACAGTCAGGAACGATAATGTGGCCCCGAGAGAAAAAAGTTTGGTGACCCCTGATGTAAAAACTAATCCTGTAAACACTAATCCTGTAAACACTAATCCTGTAAACACTAATCATGCAAACACTAATCATGTAAACACTAATCCTGTAAACACTAATCCTGTAAACACTAATCATGTAAACACTAATCATGCAAACACTAATCCTGTAAACACTAATCCTGTAAACACTAATCCTGTAAACACTAATCCTGTAAACACTAATCCTATAAACACTAATCCTGTAAACACTAATCCTGTAAACACTAATCCTGTAAACACTAATCCTGTAAACACTAATCCTGTAAACACTAATCATGCAAACACTAATCATGTAAACACTAATCCTGTAAACACTAATCCTGTAAACACTAATCATGTAAACACTAATCCTGTAAACACTAATCCTGTAAACACTAAT